GTGTACACCACCACCACACCTGACTCTGACCTCAGTATACCTTGAACAACATTTAATTGGTATCTAATAAGGTACTAGTTTGTAATAACATATCTTTTTATTTAATAGTTACATTATTTTGCTTTTTACATGTTCATATTTTACCCTCTTTAGTGGACTATGAAATGCAAGAAAGAAATTTTTATTGCTACTACCTATTAATACTTTTTAAAAGTAGTAAGTCTATGTGCACATCAGGTTATTGAATGGATTTAAAAGATAGTATAATATGGTTTGACCAGTCCTTAGCATATATTGCTTAGTAAGAGCTAACTAGTGTTACCACAACATGTATTTGCTGATTTGTTATTAAGGACATGAAGAGTGCTCTCCTGTAAATTTATGTGTAGATTGGACTTTTATGACTTTTAAACACACTAGGAAATATATGTATTTTTCTTAATAAAATGATAGTATCTTTTCTAAAGCAATCAGTCTCAATATATTAATTATATCTTTGTGTATTTTCATATTAAAATTACTTGCTTGGAAGCAAGTTGCTTATTTAAAAATACAATGAAAAGCAAATATTAGAAATGGATCCATGAAAAACATGAATAAACATATTTCTTAGATTATTACAACATAAATAATATTTCTTTAAACCTCTTTCTAAAATTCATATTCAGTGTTTTAGCTATTGCAAAGTTATTTCAACATTTCTATCTCATGAAATTTCCACTTGAACAAGCTAAAGATAATAAAATATAACAAAACATTTACAATTCTCAGGTGAGACAGCTTCTGTTAAATTCAAATTGCTAGTACTAGTATTACTAATAATTAACAGTAATGCATGTAATTCCAAGTTTAAAGTAGTGGAATTGTGTGGGGAAGCTTACAGTAGTTAAAGGTGGTACACGATGCTAGGTGAACTAGGTAAAAATTAAAATGTAGAGTATGTAATGTTGGGCTTAAGTAGACATGAGTGAAATTTGTGTTTTCATTAATCCTCTCAAAATATTTTGTAGTTTCACGTAGTTTGAGAAAAATACAAGTTGCATGGCTTAATTATCCTTTGTGCAATTATTTTTAATGTTATTGCAGCTAAGTAGGGATTTTGCTCTATTCTGAACTACTGTTTAACATTTGTTAGAAACTGACTCTATGTAACAAATTGTGCTCATTGTTAAACGGATTAGTTTATTTAATCTTATAAGAATCCTTTGGTGGAGGACTGGGGATGTAGCTCAGCGGCACAAGCACCTGCCTAGCAAGTGCAAAGTCCTGAGTTCGATTCCCAGTACCCCCCCCAAAAAAATCACATAAACAATCTCTTAGTGGAGGTACTACTAAGGTGAAATACCATAAAAGTTCAAAAATGCACTAAAATAGATAAAAGCCATTGAAAATTAACTAATTAGATCTCTAATACATTTCCTCTTATCTAGAACCACTATTTAAAACTCTGCACCCCAGAATCTCTAAAAGCTCACATCCCAGTGCGATAAACACACTAACCACTCTGTATATATTTGCTATCAGCTACCTAATCTTACAGTGAAAATGTGATCCCATTTGTGAAACAAAGTCTTTTGGGTAGGGAACTAAACTATGCAGCAACTGTTTGTGTGCCTCTAGCAGTACAGTACTAGTTCTGTGTCTTCTTGCAAGTTACTTAACTCCTCCTGGTCTAGTTTCTACATGTACAGAACATGAATAATAACATTTTACATGGCTGAGAATTAAGTTACATACTATGTGTGAATATGATCGCTTAGGTGCTAGCACAATATCTGGTGTAGGCAAGCACTGAATGATAGTATTAAGCTGTTTGCCAAAAGATAAACCCTAAGTAAATAGTTGGAACAAGACTAACAAGCCTATAACTATTAAGTAAATTTAGTTAATAATTAATAACTTTCTAAAACAGAAAACACCAGACACAGGAAGGTTCAGTGGTGCATTCTACCAAACATTTAAGGAAGAAATTATTCCAGTTCTTTACAATTCCTTCTGGATGTTGGAGTAAGAAATCCTCAACAAAACTTCAGCAAATCCAATCAAGCAATGTCTACAAAGAAGTATACAATATGGCTAAATGGGATTTATACCACTTATAAAAGATTTATTTAACTTTCAAAGATCAATTTATGTTATCTATCATAGAAGGAAAATCACATCACCATACAAACAGACATAAAAAATCAATGAAATTCAACACCCATTTATGATAAAAAGAGGGATAACTTCCTTAACTTAATAAGATTATCTCCATAAAACAGCTAACATCCTACTTAATGGTAAGAAACTAAAAACTTTCCACTAAGATCGATCAATAAAAGGATATCTGTTCTCAGTACTGTTTTCAACATTGTGCTAAAGCCCTGCTAATGCAATAGGACAAGAAAAGTAAATAAAAAATATATGGAGTATTAAAGAAGTTGTCATCTTGTTTGCAGATGACATAAGTATGTGTTTAAGAAATCAGAAAGTCTCAACAACAACAAAAATCTCCTGGAACTAATAAGCAATTATAGCAAAGTTACAGGATACAAGACCAACACAGAAAAATCAATTGATTTCCTATATGCTCGCAATGAACAAATGAAGTTCAAAATGAAAAACTGTCACCATTTATACTACTGCCCCTAATTGAAATGTAGGTATAAATCTAGCAAACTGTGTACAAGATCTATATGGTGAATTCTGTTAAATTTTCATGAAAGATATTAGAGAAAAATGAAATAAATAGAGATATACATTATGTTTGTGTATAGAAAGACAATGTTGTCAAGATATCAGTTCTTCTTAACTTATGTATAGATTCAACAGAATCCAACCAAAGTCCAAATAAATGATTTTGTGATTTTCAACATATTCATTCTGAAGATTGTGTGGAGAAATAAGATGTAAAGTAGCTAGCACAATACTGAAGAAAAATAAAGTCAGAGGATTGACACTATCAAGAATAAATTTAAAGCTATGGGAATCAAGGCAGTGTGGTATCAGCGAAAGCAGAGAGATGAAAGCAAGACCATAGGGCACCTAAAAGTAGATTTATATCAGTGTAGCCAACTGATCTTTGACAAAGACACAAAGATAATACAACAGAGTAAAACTATTCTGTTCAACAAATAATGCTAGAATAAGTAGACATCCACATGTAAAAAATGTGAATCACAAACATTAATTAAAGAATATATCATAGACCTAAATGTTAAATGAAATGCTAAATGTTAAACTGTCATATTCTAGATGATAACTTAAGGAAAACACCTAGATGACTTTGAGTATGGTGATTTCCTTTTAGACACAACAGAAAAAGCGCAACCCCTAGAAGAAATACTTGATAGTCTGAACTTTTCAAAATTAAAACTTGTACTCTGAAAGAAAACATCAAGATAATGAGAAGACAAGCTGTGAACGGGGATAAAATGCATCAAGAGGCACAGCTAGAAGAAGCCTGTGATCTAAAACATATAAGGAACTCCTAAAATATCTGATTAAAAAAAGCAACCTGATTAAAAAGTGGACAAAACACCTAAACAGATAACCTTACCAAAGAGGGTATAGAGACGGCAAGAAAGGTTAAGAAAAGGTACCCTACATCATCTATCATTAAGAAGTTGCAAATTCAGACAACAATGATTTACCACTACTTATCTGTGTATTAAAGAACACGGATCCAAAATAGTGACAGCACCAAATGCTCATGATGAAGGTGAACAAGCAGCACCCATTCGCTGCTGGTGGGAATGTGGACTGTTACAGCTATATTGGAAGACAGTTTGTTAGTTTCTCACCAAACTAAACATACTTTTACTATTTGATTCAGCAACTACACTCCTTAGTATTTACTCAAATGAGTTGAAAACATGTACACATAAAAACCTTCACATGGAGTTTATGTAAACTTTATTCATAATGTGAGGTTCCAAGCCCAAACTTGGAAATAATCAAGATGTCCTTCTGTAGATGAATGGGAAAACTGTAGTCCATTCAGACAAGGGAACATTATACAACACCAAGAAAGAAATGAGCTTTCAAGCCATGAAAAGAAATGGGGGAGTTTAATGCATAATAGTAACTGAAAGAAGGCAATCTACAAAGGCTATCTATACACTTTGGGCTTCCAACTGTATGACATTATGAAAAAGAAAAGAATAAACAGTTGCCAGAGGTTGAGGAAAGGAGGGATAAATTAGGATTTTGAGGGCAGGCAAACTGTTCTGTATGATTTATGAGGGCTGATGAGTGTCCTCAAACATTGGCCTAAAACCATAGACAGTACAACACTATTAAAACTATGTAAACCATGGACGTGGGATGGCGATGCATCCCCACAGGCTCCCTGGTTGTAACTAATGTACCACTGTTCCGGGCTGTCCATGGTGGGGAAGGTTTTTTCATGTGTAGAGACACATGCCAGAGGAACCACATAACTTTCCACTTGATTTTGCTAAAAGAGCTCTAAAAATAATGTTTTCTTAAACAGAAGATAAATGACTATAGAAAGATTAGTTCTCACCATGCTACTCCTCACAGTAGTTAATGTTACAGGCTCATCAGTCAGTTTTTCAGGACTTAAATCCCAATAACACTCCTCTCTGATTCAGTTTCTTCATCTCTGAAATAGAGATAATAAGAGTATCTATCTCAGAGTTTTAGAGGGAAGCAAATGGGATTTAAATTGCTTAGAACAGTGCACATCTCATAAAAAGTTTCAGTTCAATAAATCTTAGCTAGTTTTTCTTTTGTAAGTCTAAAACAGCTTTTTTAAGATTGGGAGGATCGTTCTGATTTCACAGATGATGAGATTGGGACTTTAAGTGGCTCAGCGGCTCCCCACTGTTTTACAATTAGTAAATTACGGAGTCCAGACTCCAATACTGGCTTTTGGGCTTCAAATCCTGTGCACAATGCTTTCCACTGCTTCTCTCACCAGCCTTCTAACCCTCAGGATATCCCAGTTTCTTCACTGAGATTTGGTTTTTGTTCTTCCCTTTACTGATCCTCAGCACCACAGAGAAAACAGGTACTGGACAGGACAGTGAACCTGGGGACCTATTTCTATACCAAGTACCACCCCATGGCAGAGGTGAGAAAGGACACAGGGGAGGAGGGTGTGGAGAACCACAACCTATATTAGGATGCTTAGCAAGGCTCAAAACATGGGGTTAGAAACCTCTGTCAGTATGTTTTAGGAAGGGCGTACACAAGTTTTGTCTAATTTGGGAACATTAGCAAAGGATATTGTTGGTGTATTAGTCTGCCTTTCTTTACTATAACTAAATATCTGAGGAAAGTTGGTAGTATTAAGAAAAAAGGTTTGTTTAGCTCACAATTTGGGGACTGAAAGTCTAAACAGCCTAAGGCAGTCTCTAGAGAGGACTACAGGCCTTAGCTGTATCACCTCCTAGGGGATGGCAACAGCAGGATCAAAGCAGGAGGCTAGAGAGACTCAGGGGTCAGCCTCAGGCTTCTACCACATTTCTCTCTGAAGAGAACACATGCCAGGAGACCAGTACTCCCTTCTGAGGGCAGGGCTCCAAATGAGCCAAGGACACCCCATTAGGCTGCACTTCTTACAGGCTACAGCAGCTCTCACAAAGGAGTGTAAGCTTCTAATATATGAGCCTTTAGGGTACAAACAATATCCAAACCATACTGGGATCCGTAAAGACCATAAAGAAGATCTCAACCACAAACAAAGCTTGACTTGAAGTTTCTGGTATGACTCTGTGCCACCTAATGGTGTGTGAAGTTTGTCTCTGAAGTTCTATTGGTGGATTACTGACATTATTGCCAGTTACATACCTGTAAAGCTCAGTATGGTGTCCTAAGAACTTGGTGGCAGGGAAGATCTTTAAAGGAAAGATGGGAGGTAGTAATGCCTTGGCTCAGTTTTCTGGTTTTCTGTTTTTTGTTTTTTGTTTTTTTTTTACTGCATAGCTGTTGTGATCTAGAGCAGAGTACAGAGTTCAATGTCTTAGTGAAAAGAGTTATTGTAATCAGAATCAATCAAGCAGTCTTCCTGTTGATAGCCATGTCCTCCTGGCTGTTTCAGATCTATGAATGGATGATCCAGGTCAGTGAGAAGCATGCAAAAGTGGTGACAAAGCATTTCCTAGGAGTGACTTATGAGTCCTGGCCCATGTGTTATCTGACGGTGAGTGCAAAGGCGGAGAAGGACCTTACTTGGAGAGGTCTGAGAATATTATTTACTACTTGACTCTATCAGAATTGTGGAAAAAGTTAAAAGAAGCAATGCAAAAGGTCTGCCCCAAACTGGGCTTCTAAAATTCAAACTTGATGCTTATGCCTTAGTCGTGGTGTGTGAAGTTTGTCTCTGAAGTTCTATTGGTGGATTACTGACATATCACCAAGGCAGGGGTGAGGGGTAGGGCCTAAAAATGGCAGTGCCCAGAAGTGGATTATACACTGCTCATGCCTCAGCCAGAGCTAGCTGATTTTCCATCTGATTTTAAGTGTTTTTTGGTGTTTTTTAAAGAGATTTTTTTTTTTCATAAAAATGTTTAAAAATCACAGATAACCTTCATTTTTGTTTTTTTCATATTGTGGTTGAGGGAACAAAGAACCAGGGAAGAAGGGTGACCTGTACAAATTCACACAGCCAGATGGATAGTTGTACAGTCAGCGGGACACCATGTCTTAGGGTTCTCCTACCCCATTTGCATGTGACACAGTGAAAACTATTTAGGGTTCAATAGTTATTCTTCAGAGGGCCAGAACTGCTGTGGTCCCAGTTCTGGACCAGTGACATTTCTAGCCTGAATGCACATTAAAATCACTGTGGGGAAGGGGATAGGGAAACAGCTCAATGGTACAAGCTCCTGCCTGGCAAGCATGAGGTCATGAGTTTGATTCCTGGTGCCAAAAAAAAAAATCACCATGGAGACCTGTTAAGTCACCCTCTAACTCTAGGCCTCACCTACAGAGACAGTGACCTAATTGTTCCAAGTAGGGTCCTCAAGCGATCCTAATAACCAGAATTAATAACTATTGCACCACAGCACTGAGATTTGATCTCACCCTGGAAAGAATGGCTATTATCAAGAAATCAACCAATGACAAATGCTGGCAGGACTGTAGGGGAAAAGGAACACTTCTCCACTCTTGGTGGGAGTGTAGACTGGTGCAACCACTGTGGAAATCAGTGTGGAGATTGCTCCAAAAAAACTAGGACTAGACATCCCATTTGACCCAGCTATTCCCCTTTTTAGCATCTTCCCAAAATAATCAAAAACATTGTATCACAGTGATATATGTGCACACATGTTTATAGCAGTGCAATTTGTAGTAGCTAGATCTTGGAAACAACCCAAATGCCCATCAACAGAGGAATAGATAAAAAAGACGTAGTCTTTTCATACTATGAAGTACTACTCAGCCAAAAGGAAAGATAAACTTGAGACTTACAGGTAAATGGATGCAACTCGAGACCGTACTCATAAGTGAAATAAACCAGACTCACATGTTTAAACATCATATTGTCTTCCTAGTATGAGAAACTGAAAAAGTAAATAAGATCCAAAATAAACAATAGATATTGTAAAATGGGAAGAAACTTCAAAAGGAAAGAGAAACTGGGATGGGGGAATGGAAAAAAGAAGGAAGGGAAAAGCAAAAAAGGAAAAAAAAAATATATATATATAAGATAGTTAAAATAGTTATACTACAAATTTCTCTTTGTTCATTGAAAAGAAAGGTTTGTGCTAATATTGTCTGGGCAATTAAATGCTTATATCTTGTAACCTGAGTGACTAATGAAAAGATAACAATGCACAAAATATATCAACCATTGTTACCCTCCTATTATCTTGTTGAAATTTTGTTTTATTTTTTTCTCTTTAAAATAAAGAGAAACAACCATTGCACTGATATGGGAAAGAAAACTAAACCAACACCCTTTTGTGTTCTCATGCCATTTTGAAGCTTAAGTTTGTTTCCTTAAGTTTGTTTCTTGTAAATGTTGTCATAGTTACTTAACCCGATACCACCCCATGCTCTGTCATAAGATTGCCTGTCCCTATGTAAAAGGTCAAACACCTTTGCTCCTTTGTCACAAGCTAAGCCCATGTTTTGTAGTATTTCTGTAGCTGCACTAAATCATATCAGCACCACCCCTATAGACTCAGAACTAGACCTGGAACTAAAACTGTATAACTATTCTTCCTTCCCACCCTTTAGGGTCAGTGCTCAGTCACGTACTGGGTGCCCACCTGTAGCCCTCAATAAACTTGCTTGTCTCTGCATCTGGCCTCCATGGGTGACTCAGATAAGCTCATTTGCCACAACAGCACCGAGCCAGTGGTTTCCCAAGGGTGGTCCATGGACCCATCAGTATCACTTGGGAGCTTGCTACAAATGCATGTTCTCAGCTCCCACCTTTGGTCAACTGAATCAGAACGTATGCGTAAGGTCTCTGTGTCTGTGTTCCAGCAAGCTGTCCTCCAGGTAACTCTTTTGGAAGCACAATGTGTTTCTACCAAGTTCCCACGTGCGTGGATATTGCTAGTCCAAGACCATCTTCAGGAACTACTTTTGACATTAAGCACTTTCTTTACTTTGATCACCCTACTTGGCACAGGCACGTTCACTAATAAGGAACAACCTCATATTTGAGAACTACCTACAACCGCAAAAATGGAATGGCTCAGAAGTAGAATCCACCTAGGGGCTGAGTAACAGGTGATATGTTAAGCATGGGTCCTTTGCCAACTTGATTTTCCCCAGCCCCTCAAACTCTGAGCTGACGTAGCCAACATGACATTTAAGCATCCTCTTCCTGAGCCATATTTTGAAGAGTAGAATGAGTACAGAATGAGGCAATAAATATAAACATATAATCAACATACATGTACTCATAAAAGGGATAGTTATAACAAGATTAAGCTGAAAGGTGGATGTGAGAAACCTGAAATACTATAAATAGGGAGCAAAATAAGGGATAGATAGCAGGAAGTAGGGATATAGAGTTTTCTCAAGTGGGAAGGGGATTGAGAAATGGAGGGACAGCTTACGGGCATGGTGCTGCACACCTGTAATCCCAGCACTCAGGAGACTGAGGCAAGGGGATCGCCAGCCTGGGCTGCAAAGTGAGTCCAAGTCCAGCCTGAACTACAGAGCAAGACCTTGTCTCAAAAAGACAAAAAACAGAGATATGGAGGGAAGGGAATAGAGGAGACAAAAAGGAATGAAAAAAAAAAAGAAAAGAACCAAGGAAAGTAAACATTATTAATGCAAACTTGTACTAATGAAAAATTAAAATTAAATAAAAAGAATTGCCTTGAAAATTTTGAAAGATAGCAGAGGCTAAAAGGAGAACGTTCCATGAACATGGCAGATCCAGCCACGTGTTTGTGTCAGTTGGTTAGTATCTCACGGAGGGAGAGAGACTCCATCAGTCCAGCTCCCAGTGGCTTTCAACAAACAGCACAGGTCAAGGGCATTTACGAATCCAGAACTGATGTGACTGTTACAAGCTGGCCACAGCCTCTTCTCCCCCAAAGAGAATCCACAATTGCCAGTTTAGCTCCCACCCACTCACTGGAAGAATGAGGGTATCTTTGTTGCTGGAATGAGGCTGAACTGATGTCCAGCAATAACAAATGGAGAGAAAAGAAAGCAGATTGGATTGGCTGGGTGCAGAGGACTCCCTCAAGAAGGGGAATCTAATAAGTGTTGCAAGAGATTATGTATTTTGATGTATTCACAGTTTCACAAAGTTGAAGTGAAGATTCATATCCATTTTTAAATACCTTTGATTATTGAACATTACCTCTTGTGCACTTTGCCACTCTGAGTGAACTCTCCATGACAAGGTTTTAAAAGCTTTATACAAATTTGGCATTTTAGCTTGTGGCTTAGGGTTTTATGCCTTTATTTGGAGTTAGGGAATATTTAGAATGTAACGAAGGCTGTGCTTTGGGTCAGTGCCGTGGGGAATTAGTGCATGGTCCGAGAATGACTACAAAGGCAAGGAGCAGAGAATAAGAGCGACAGGGGACTGGGCTGCAGGTGGCTGTCTCCACCGGCACTGGCACTTTCTTAAAACCACAGAATGCAGTAAGAAAGAGACACCTCTGGGGAAGGAGAGCCCTCGTAACTTTGCATGGTAGTCTACAATAATAAGTGATCGTTTGGTGACAGAGCATGGATTTCCCTCCAGATCAGCCAATCATCTAGTAACCTCAGGAAGATCATTTGGATGGACTGTGGAACCCATGCCAGGGACTGGATTGCCCCTGCTTTTTGCCAAAGGTTTGTGATAGAAGTAAGTACCTTTAGTTTCCGCATAGTGGCAAGTTGTTTCGTTAAATACCTGTCACTTCTGGGCTACTTAGAAGCCATACTTCTTTCACATGTTAACAGCGAATCTCTTTACTGAGTGAGTCCTCCACCTAAAGTAAAATGGTATGAATAAGGGCCTTTTCTGAAAACTGAGTTAGTATCCTGACATCTTTCTAGTGCATCCAAAAATCACTATTTTTGGAGGATAAATGTATCAGTATGTAGAAGAAGGTACATCTTGAGAATCAGAGATGAGTTTGAATCACAGGTTTGCCTCTTTCTCATTCCTAACACTGAGTGAATTTTCTAACAATGGGAGCCCCAGATCTGCATCTGTAGAAAGAGTAGAAAATGACTAGTTTATGCATCTGCTGTATGGACTAAGAGACTTGGCATATAGAAATGCCTAGCACAGTGAATTTTTGCATATTACTTATACCATTCTCTTTAGGGAATAAGAAACCTTTAAAAATAATATAAGACACTTTTTTTGGTCAGTCTTTTCAGAAACCCAAATATTAAAAAATAACCCACAAAGAGTAGTTCTCAGAAAGTGGTTCCCAGTCAAACAGAATCAACATTAACTGGAAACTTGCTGGAAATGCAAACTGTTGGCTTCATCTCAAACCCTGTGAATTAGAAACTCACAGGGAAGTAGGGGGGATGCGTGCAAATGGAAAATCTGCACTTTAGCATGTCCTCCAGATGATTCTGATGCACATTAAAGTTTTAGAACTACTACCATAATGAATAAGAAAACTAAGGAGGGGTTTGGAGATATGACACACAGTCAGCTCTTACAATTAAGTAGAAATCATAAAAATTATAGGAAACACATCTTCCTAGAATCATTCTAAATGCTTCTCTCTTAAATGTCCAGAATCCCCAAAGCTACCAAAACAACTCAAGGATAAGCAGGTTTCTTAAGAACCTGGGCTTCTATGTGCTTCCAGCTCTTAACGTAGATGGTTACATCTACAGTTGGACAACAGTGGGTAACCTGAGTTTGGTCCTGGGATGTGCGTACAAACTAAAGGATCCACTAGGGTTCACCGTCCTGACCTCAGCCATTCTAGTTATAAAACTATTTTGTACCTATTTAAATAAAGAAACTCCATTTGAGATAAAAATCAGTTTACTAGTTTAAAAATCAAACAATAGAAGTCAATTTTAAGATTGAGGAGGCTGAAGGCCTTCTTAGACTTGAATTCAATGCAGGTATTTTCATTGTCTTGGACATATTCCCATTTTCCAGGCTGACTTAATTTTTCTTCTTACTATCTTCTTAATGGTTGTGAATTAGCCGTTACCCAATTAGAATTCTGTGATATAAAACTCACAGAACAGCCTATATCCTCCTCAAATCAGTTCTAGAAGCATAAGTGTGATGAGGGACATCTGGATACTAAGCCACCCTTGCCCTCTAATGTGACCATTCAAGCAGGATCAGGCATCTCATACAGCTCTCATATGTAGTTGACAGTAGACAGTTTTCCCCTTAGCAACGTTTCTAAACCGTGTCATTCCACAATGAAGAGTCCCTCTTTCTAAAGGGTATTATTCATTCTTCTCCGCTCTCACTCCCTCAAAGGCCTTCTCTACGGAACAGCTTTTCTGGCTCATCTCTGAATCAAAGCCTTCCCTGTGAGCTTGGCAGGTAACAGTTGCCTTCACCTCCCTCTCTGCTCATTAGTCTTCTGCTTCCAGAAATATGCACAGCCCATCCCTGATACACCTGGAACAGCCTTTTCCCATCTGTCGGGCTGTTTCCCTTTCGTTCTGTACCACTCGGCCCTGAAAAATGACTCTGGGTAAGCAGATCACATCCACAGGCACAACTAATCTGCTCATGAGGAAAAGGCCAAACCACCTCCTCCAGTTTGGCTGTTTTCATGTGTGTGTGCTTTAAATTGTACAAATGTTCCTATTATCAGGACTTGTTAGCCCATTTTCAAAACTAAAAATTACACACACAAGCTTCACAAATTAAAAACATATTTTTCCAGGGAATCCTGAGGAACACTTTTCATATTGAAGGACCACCTAACACCACTAACGTTGTGATTTATTAAACCTTAGAATGGCAATATTCTTTGGTTCATCTGTTATAGAATCACCTGTGGAGGAAATCCTGTTCATCCCATAATAATGACACATATTTTGGATCAGATCTCAATAGGAATTTCAATACATGCTGGTGTAGAAAGTACTTGTTTGGTAGAAAAAGTCATCAGAAGCAAAGAAATAGGTGAATTACAAACAGTATCATTTTTTAAAAAAATCTGAACAGCTTTCCGGGCATTCTGACACATTTCATTCCCCTTGAAGAGATGATATTCTCCGTATAGTAAGAGTCATCCACTCTGAAGTTCGACCTTCTTCAAGTGAGGTTGCCTAAACAAGAACAAGGTAAACCCAGACCAATATGAATATATTTAAAATCTACCACTTAGCTTTGAAATATATAGATCATCATAAAGAGTAGAAAAATCAGAGCATTACCCTTGGGGATGATTTTACAGCAGGACGGCGGGTAGTAAACAAAGCCAACATGTTCTCCTTATGGCATTTCTACATTTCCAAATCTCAATATCCCCAAAGAACTGGAAGCAAATAAAGAGGCAGGAATAGTTAAGAGCATTGCCATTCTCCAGATGGCAAGGGTTAAAATTCAGACTTGGCAGCTGTGTGGCCTTGGAAAGATTGCTGCCTCTTTCTGCTTTTGTCTTATATAAAATGTGGGTCATTGTAAGACTACATTATAGAAGATGCTCAGGAGTTGTAATTCCAAAGTTCCACAGGAGGGGCTGGGTATAGACTTAGCACACCAGAGGTGCTCAGATGATGGGCTTTATAGTTGTTAATGAAGATGACACACTATTTAAATCCTTGCAAAATTGGTCTCATGAGAATAAAGGCAATAAGACATCGAAGAAGAGGCTTAGCGCAACAAGACTGTCAGAACCTAACTTAGGAACCTGAGAAGCGGTTGCCAACCATGTGTTTCAGGGTTCATGTTATGGTTTGAAGGATATTGCAAGGGGGAAAAATACAATACAGGACACACATTTTATAAGATTATTTATAACAGTCACCCAAAGAATCATATACAAGAGAGTATAGGAAATCTGTCCACACACTATAGACAAATAAATCTAGCCAAAGGCCTGGATCCCATGGAAATATCCTGCATGGGTCCAGCTGAAGACCTACAGCTCATTAACAATGCCTCCCATGAAACCAACTGGAGACCCACAGCCCATAACAATATCTCATGCAGGCCTGTTTCACAGATCTGTCCTGGGAAGGCCCAAAGGTCAGTGGTAGAAGCTAGAAAGTCTGTTTCAGGAGGATGAAGGGTCTGTGCTAGCAGGCTGAGGGAACTAAACTGGAGCCAGAAAGCAAGATGCAAAGTAAGAACCAGAGCTCCCCTGAAAAGTACCACAGCCATCCTCAGAAACAGTGAGGTCCTGAGCTCCTCCAGTGGTGAAGACAGCTGAGTTTCCATCAGGAAAACTAACACAGCAAGCTTCTCCAGGAGACAGGCAGTGCACCATCTTCCCCAACTTAGCCAGGAAGCATTGCTCCAAGTGAGGACCAGAGCTTCCCCAAAGTGAATGGAAGCTATTCTCAGTGCCAGCAAGGTCCAGAGCTCCTCAGAGGATGAAAATGGCCAAGTTCATCAAGAAAGCCATCATGGCAAGCACCTCCAACAGAACCAACAGCTCCTTACAGCTTCCACCAGCTCCCAACAGCCTTTCTCTGTTCTCAACAGCCTTACTTCTTTTCCAGTTCTGCCTCTTATGCTGCTGGCAACAGTCCCCAGGTGGGCCTCCCACACCCAGCACCACACTTACTCAGTTCAGCTGGGGATTATAAATTGACCACCAGTGGTCAATCCACCACAGTTCACCACAGATTTAAGTAAAAGAGTACTGAAATGCCATTTCATTTGCTATTCTCTCTCCTGAGCCATGCAAGTGTGGCATTTGCTGCTCTGAGTTCCTCCTGCAATGACTGTCTTCAGTGACCGTCCAAGCTGACTAATTCACACAGGATTAAGACAAACAAAGGCGAACCCTGATACAACCCACAGATGCCCTGGGCAAGGAAGACTGCTTGCCCTCTGTCATTTCTAAATGGAAGTCATGAAGCTGGCTCTGTGGTTTCCTATATTTTCCAGATATTGGCACATCCAAAAAACTACCAAAACATAACATTTTGTGGGACAGGACCGAAGTCTGAACCAGAGGCTAAAGCAATCTCTAACTTCACTGAGAGTAAGGAGGACATATTGTGCTTCCTGACCAACACTCTTACGGTCAGCTCATTCTTGTACCATACGGCTACATCACAAATAAATCAAGGAACCATGAAGAATTGGTAAGTCCACAGCAGCAAGACTCTAGCAAAACTTCATAGGTCCTCTACCTTCCTTCTTCCATTTCCACGTCCTAGATTTTGGCTTCAGCCCCCTGGTTCTCTCTCTGCTCATCCTTACTTTCTTTGCCTGCCTTCTGTACCTTGCCAGATGCCTGCTGGGAAGGCTTTGGGTTAAATGCTGCTTTACCTGCGTTAATTAACTACCTGTTTCATAAAGCATCAAGTTGGGAGACATCTTAGGTATTCGCCTATAATATAAATGAGATGATTATGTTAATAATCTGCAGGAATGCACTTTCATTTCTGTGAATTCTCTCGAAGCTCCATTCAGCAATTACAGCTTTTGAATCATGCTTTAAAGAACTTGCCAGCTGTTAGTGGAATATGGCATATCTAAAATAACACGGCTAAATAGTATCTGCTCTCTTTTCTGCTAAGCACAATGCTCTATTTTCTCCTAAACTCTTCCTCCAGCATTTGCCTGGGAATATTTTGTAAGAGGAAATGCCGGTGAAATGCAAGCTGGGGCAGGGAAACTGCTTTGTTTCGGTCCTTTCCTGTTGCCGTGTTTACCCAACCACTGGTGAGCAGAATTGCCGAAAAGGACTGGGTCCTTTGCCCTATTGTGAACCAAAGGACAATAGTCATAGAGGGAAGGTGAATGCAGAATTATTGCAATATTTGCTGCTTGCTTTTTTTTCTTCTTCTTCGATTTTTAATTGAGGTAAAATACATCTAACATCAAACTTGCCATCTTAGCTGTTTTTAAGCATAAAGTTTAAAATAGTCATATTGTTGCTCAACCAATCATCAGAAAATTTTCATCTTGCATAAATTAAGCTTTATACTCATTAAATAACAACTTCCTAGTTGGGTATGGTGGAGAATGCCTTTAATCTCAGCACATTTGGGAGGCTGAGGCAGGAAGATCACAAACTGAGCCCAGCCAGAGCAACTTAGCATGACTGTCTCAAAATAAAAAATAAAAAGGGCTGGAGGAAGTGCAGCTTACTTGGAAGTCCCTATGTTCAATCCCCAGTACCACAGAAACAAAAGCAAAAAAACTCCCCATTTCTCTCTAACCACAGCCCAGGAAATCACCATTCTGTTTTTTGTTTCCATGAGTCTGATTATTCTAGATACTTCTTGGGTCAGTTATTTTTCTCTTGTTGCTAAGACAAAACACCCAATGCCCAAAGTTAAGGAAGAAAGGGCTTATTTAGCTCCCAGTTTGTGGAGGTTTCAGTCCATACTTAGCTGGCTCCAAGGCAGGGTGACACATGCCAGAGGGCAACAGGTCATGGCAGTAGAAGAGAGCAAAAGCAGCAAGAGCAAAAAGAGAGAGGCAGCAGCAAGCTAGCTTCCCCTTATAAGGGAAGGACAGAGGCTTGTTCTGCACTGGGTATAACAGGGGCTTGCTCTGCCCTGGGTATAACACTGCTACATCCAGTGCAGGGTGGATGTAGCATTCATACCCATAATCCCATTGAACTATGAATCAATCAAAAGCTCTAGAAGCTCACCCCATGACTGCCTAAGGCTTTGGGGGGACATCCAGACACAAACCGCAACACTTCTTATAAGTGAAGTCATACAGAATATTTCCTTTTTTGGCTGGGTTATTTCACACAACATAATATCCTTAAGGTTCACCCATGTTGTAGCCTATGTCAGAATTTCCTCTTTCTAAGGCCACATACTATACTACTGTATGTATACACTGTGTTTATCCATTCATCTATTAGTGAACACCTGGGTCACTTCCACCTTTCAGGTGTTGTGAATAACACTGCTATGAATATGTGTGTACAAATATCTCTTCAAGACACAGCTTTCAGTTATTTTGGATATAATCAGAAGTATAATTTTTGGATCATGCGATACGTCTATTTTCAATTCTTAAAGGAACTATCCTTTAATAGTTCCTATTAAAGGAACTATCTTCTTGCTTTCCATAGCGGCTTCACCATTTCATATATCCATCAATAATGCACAACTGTTCAAATTTCTCCAGTTTTGTCAACACTTGTTATTTCCTGTTTACTTTCTTAGCTCTTCTTTATGTACAAATGGTGGGATGGGTGGGTGCTAGTCTCACTCTGTTGTTAATATCCTGGTACCCTGTGGTTATGTCACACTTCCTGTCCCTCTGTCACTAGGGCATGACCCATAAAACACAAGCTGGAACACAAAAAGAAAAACCACTGTAGTTCTTCCCTCAGCAGTCAAAAATATCCAGTGATATACTCATGCCTTTCTGGAAATTTCCTTTTTCTTTTGCATTTCAGCAAAATTTGTGTCAGGTAAACATTTTGTAAGATGTGGAAATAACTCCCATTTGCCTAAATCTTTACAATTCAGCAAAGGATCTTATAGCTACTATCTCATTTGACTCTCATGAAAACACAATAACCTCATTTTAGAGAGGTAAAGACTGAGACTGAATTAAAAACATTTCCAGAAAGGTAGAGAGCAGGATGGAATTTGGGTCTTTGCATTCCAGAGGCTGCCTTTATCATTCCCAGACCTCAGACTGTCTCAGTCTACTCAGAAAGGGTTGGTAACTTTTAGAAGCCATTCCCAATTCAGATTCTGAGAGGTTCTATTTCTTCAGCAAAATACATGCAAAAACAGAGGTTTCAGTCAAGAAGCTCAGAATCCTTCTCATCCTCAGTTCCTGTAGTATTCCTTTTAGATTTCTGCTTTCTCCTTCAAGGGACCTGTGGCAGAGCCACATGAATCTCTAGAGGTGGATCTTTGATGGCAAGGGGCTTCAGGCCATGGAAAGATCTCTTATTGGAAGGGATATTCCACTAACGCTTGTGCATTCAGTACTTTTGGGGGGAATTTCATTCTCTTTTTGGTTCAGGAAAGCAGATATATGACAGTTTCAGCAGGTCCATCTTCAAAGGTTAGAGGGTCTTGTGTTTCTGATGGGCCACCTGGCTAGTGCACTGTGGCCACAAGTTAAAGCCAACAAGACAGTAGGACAGACTTGGGCTAGTGGCAGGAACAATACTGGAAGATAGCTCTAAGATGAAAATATCCTCAGCACTATCTGCAGGTATTAGTAACTGTGTCAATATTTCTTACATTCTCAGGTGCTGAAGAGTTAGCATAAACATTCTTCTCCAAGACTTGTCAATGAAAAGTCAGTGTGAAAACATCCCCATGTGCTAAACTTACTGAAGCTATTCGGTCGCACTTTGAGGTTCTTGGGGGTAAGCTTTGACACCCTGCAAAATGACACAGAATCAAGCTCATGGCTCCAAGGGGAGCCAACAGAAACAACTGAAACTAGTAATTAATCTCTATAGTTACAAAACCAAAAGTTCTTAGAAATCACAGTAAATACTATACTTCATGATAGATAATTTGGCAACTACTATGTAGAGGGTAACAGAAGTATCTAGCCCCTTTCCAACCTGTTCTGGAAATTAGGATAGTTATAAGAATTCTACTGCTTTACACCCTTACATTCTTTCCATTTGAACTCTTTTCCTATCAACCTCTGTCCTCCATCCCAAGCTGTTCACCTCCTATCCTGCACACCATGCCAGGCCTTGAGCAAAGTTTTTAAGTACCCGCCTGTGACTAAACACCTGTAGCAATTCTTCTGGGTTCAGGAAGGAGTTGTTGTTCAGGCTAGAGGTCTTTAGCTTGTGTACTATGTTCTACTGACAAAGTTCTTTCTAATCATTTTACTACAAGTACCTTTAAGCTGAAAAGGGCTGGGTGATATTGGCTGTATCTGGCCTTGTGGTATAATGTCAGGTAAGAAGACTGCAGGGATGGAAGGGAAAGTTAGAAGTCTAAGGGATTTTTATCCCATCCTCTCTGAAAGGACCAAATTCATAAGCTGTGCATCACAATTATACACTTCTCGTACATATTTGTTATTCGTAACTACTTCCCTAATTCATTGCTAATGGAAAATCCTTTCACAAATAAAGTCCAAAGGATCTATTCTCAACAACAAAAGAATGAAAACTGGAAAGAACTTTCTCATCCCACAGTCAGTAGGATTTGAGAAAAAGAACTGTAGGGAATAAAATAAGTAAAGGCTGGCAATGGGAACAAAAAATTGTCAGGGGCAAGTTTAAAAAAAAAAAAACCCTGTAAGGATTAATTTGGATGGAAAATGGAGCCTGGGGATGATTAAAAAAAAAAAAAAACCCTGTAAGGATTAATTTGGATGGAAAATGGAGCCTGGGGATGATCCATGTATCCCGAAGAATAGGTAAGACCCTCAGGGGCCAGTTAGTATGGAGTCTCTTTCAAAGGAACAGAGAAACACATGGGAATTAAAAATATTAAAAACAATTTATAATCTCAGCTACATGGCTTTGGGAGGACTTCAAAAGAAAGTGTAGTTGATAAGTCACAACAGTGCTTCTCCAGGCCTCTTACTCTTAATTTCCTCCCACAGAGCAGCAACCCAAATCCTCTCCCACTCCTACTTGCTTACCACAATTTCTTTCTCCAGAAATCTCTGATTCGCTCTTCCCACCTCTTTCTACAAAGAGCTCTTGTCTCTTCCCAGTGAAAATGGTTAAACTCATTTTTTGCCTGTTTTCTTCAGCCCTTTCCTACTTATTGTCTCAGATCTGAGCAGCACAAACCCAGGAACTGAGGCAGGTTCAGAATCCTAATTCGGAAGGCGAGGGAACTCACCTCGAGATAGAAGAATTCCCAGTAGTGAATGGAGAGAAGACAAAATGCTTACACGTACTTTCACTTCCATGGATTTTCCCCCTTTTTTCTCAGCCACACAGAGAGAGACACAGCTAAAAGATGCTACTCATGGCTGTTGCCTATGACCCTTCACCACTGCTTACTGGTCTTGCATTTCTACTCTGAATTTCTCATGGTAGAGTCCACTCTACCAAGGATTCCTTTGTCACATCTTAGCTTTCAGCTGGGCAGTGCAGAGCCAGGGATGCAGAGGTAGGACATAGAACTAGACCTCATTAGCTGAGAGTCAGGGAGCTGCACGCTTACCATTGCAACCAGGTGGCCCTCGGGGCAAAACGATGGCAGATCCCAATGCAGGCAGGGAGTGACAGGGTGTAGATTCCGAAGGGAAGTTATGAGACGCACCATAAGGTGGTAGAACACAACATGCACATGGGGACACTCAGAGTGTCTGTTGAGAGACTCTGGAACAAGATACATCAGAAAGTCTGTACGCACAACCAACAGACTTGGACCTTTGTTAGTGACTCTAGTCTCAGGAAAGGGTCAGCATAGAGTGAGACCTTAGAAAACATCTAGTTCTGAGGGACTCCCAGCAGATGGTGACACAGTGGTGGGAATGGGGGCAATTATACCTTCCATCTCGGAAATTCTGTAAGTCTACATGAGATGTGTTTCAAATATCTATAAGGAAAAACAAGAGGAGAATTGTAAGAGAGGTATGAGCAAAGAGCTACTGGTGATCCAAGAGATAGAATCCAGTTGAGGTGACCAGGAAAGGTCTCCTGGGAGAGCTGGCATTTGAGAACTGAGGTTAGGGAGAACTTCAAAGGCAAGGTAAGAGGTAGGAGTTCCAAATGGAAGAGACAGCACAAGAAGAGATAAAGAAGAATGTAGAGAAACTTGAGTTGTAGCATAATCTAGGGTGGTCATGCAGGGAATGGTGTTGGAAAGGTCACTGGGGGCCATATTTTAAGGACCTTGAAAATGAGGATAAAAAGCTTGTACTTAATTCAGTGAGCACCTGGGTAATACTGAACATTTTCAGCAGGATCATGACTACAGCTCTATGCATCTGGAAGTCAGGTGGGATCAACCTGCATAAGGACTGATGAGAGGAGGAGAAACTTGTTAGAAGATGCAACTGACCAGTTGAGAGGCAGTGAGTCTGGCACAGGGCAATGACACTGGAGTGGCAGGTTGGTGAATCAGACACCTGCAGCATTTTCCTACAGTTGAGGGAGCGTGGAAGAAACAGAAAATGTACAAAAACCTTATTGGAAGAGAGATGGTGAAATTGAATGTAAAGGTGACGAATTACAGCTGTGAACAGACCACCTAGCCATCCAGTGGGAAGTTGAAAGGATGGTCTAAAACTCCTCTGGAGGTAGATCTGGACAAAACACCCAATGTTTGGATTTCTGGGTTTATTTTTAACACCAGATATCTGTCTCTGCATTTCCCACCTACAGATTCAAGTTGGACAGAAGGCAGCAAATGCATTGAAAGCAAAACATGGAACCAATTATAGAGTTGGATCGAGCGCAGATATTTTATGTAAGTATCATTTTTTCCTCTTCTGTAGTATCTAAGGCACAAAAGAAATCAATGGAGTTTGTGGGGTAAGGTGGGCAGGAGAGAAATAGATCAACAGGGAGTTGTACAAATCAAAATGACCAAGGATGAAAGGGAATCTGTACAAGTCCAAAATTGTATTCTCTAGGGATAAGGTGTGAGCTAAAAGGAAAATAAAATACACTAGCTCCAACCTAAATTCCTCCCTGGCTTCAGTTAAAAAGAGCCAGAAGTTAGAACACACAAAGTTAACAGGAAGGACATCCCCTGATCCTTGGTCAGTTAATTCCCACAAGACCTATCAGGCTAAGAAAGCCAAGCAGGGTGGGACCTAGAGGAAGAATAGAAAAGATCCTGGCTGAAGGAAAAGAGCATTGCTTCTCCCAGCCCAACTACCACCTCTTCCCTCTCAGAGGTCCGCCTAGATAATATTTGCATAATACATTTTTGTTAACCTTTTACTTCAGTTCATCCTTACCTTGCAGTAGGAGGTTGCTCAGCCTCTGAGTCCATCAAGGAACTTTAACCAAATTCTCTGCTTTTTACTAAGTGGGTAGAGGGGCTAAATGTCTGATTTAGCCATGTTTATGGCCCCTGGCCTGCGGAAGCTACCTATAAAGAGAAGGAGAAGACTACTATTCAGGAAGCCCTAATCTGAAACCGTTTCCTTACATTACAGGTTGACCTTCATTCCCTGGAATGTCAAAGAAGTCTGTCCTTCCAAAGTCCAATTTCTACTTCTTTCATGTTTCATTCCTAGATCCCACATCTGGATTGTCAAGAGACTGGGCTCAAGACATCAGGATTGCTTTCTCCTACACATTTGAGCTGAGGGACAGAGGTACCCATGGGTTTGTTCTGCCTGAAGATCAGCCAACCTGTGAGGATGCTTTCAATCCTGGATGATGTGCACGCCAAGTACTGGCTCTCTAGTAGTGCTGGGAAAGTGACATCTACCTCTGTGGTGCTGAACCTGCTGTAGTTCTTCACCTCTTTGCTCTGAATGTGTCCTACCCAGGCCTGCACCACCCCGGTAACAGGGATGTGGTTGGAGGGAAAGTATGGGCAGTTGTAGAGAAACCAAATCATTGAACTAAAAATAATCACTAATCCAATAAAGAAAAATTGTGTTGGCCTTTTAATATTTGCTTTGTTAGTAATTAAATTTTATTACTCTGTAAGAGCATAGTATTAGTTATTGCTACAATAATGTTACCAATTAAGCCTTCTACATCTCAGTGGCACACTGTCTATATACAGGACCTACTGGTCTAGGCTGTGTTCAGGGATGCATCTGTGGTCAGTGTCAAGGCCACTGGTTGATCTTGTCCAGGATCACACTCTTTCAGCAAGAATAGGACAGCCTCACTAGGATGAACCTTTTCCTTCAGCATGTTAGGCCAGGCCTGGACTCATGGCAATGGTAGAGGAGAAAGAACGAAAGGTGTAGGGCAAGTCCCAGTGTGGGGGCACTTTTTAAATTTCTGCTGGCTTCATACTTGCTAAGATGCCATTGGCTAAAGAAAGTCACATGGTTGAGTTTAGCATCAAGGGAAGGGGCAAGCTGGTTCAGATTTATGATTGGGATGGCGCAGCTATAACACGGAATGACTCAAAACTGTTATTATTCCACCCAGGTTTCAACCTTGAGAAGTCTGTGAGTACCAGTGGAATCCCACTGTTCTTTAAATCTCATTAAAGATCACATGATGAGATTCTGATATCCCTTTCATGTTCTACTATTTCATTGCTGATTTATGATCTCAATATTCACTAAGGAAAATGAAAAAGAAATAGGTTTCCTGGGCTTGATTCTCTTCCTAAATTCTTTGAAAATTTTTCTTAAGCCTTTGAATCAGGTTCTCCCTTAATTTTGTGTTAATGAGTTAGTAGCAGCAGAAGGTAAGTTATATAATGTCTCTATATAGCAGTTGCTGGTTTTATGTATTCACTTTTTTTTATTTACTTTTTTTTTGAGAATCTGCTATGAGGTTACAATGGTGAATAAGATAGACATGGTCCCTGTCTATTTAGAATTTATATGCCAGTGAGTAAGATTCGGAGTAGCAGTCATAAATAATTGCAATGGATGCGCCGTTTCATACCAGGCAAATCCCAGGTCAGGGGAAGACACACTAAACAGGAATACAAATAAATAAGCTAAATATTACAGGTTGTGACACATGCTATGAAAGAAATAAAGCAGAGAGATAAGCAAGAACCAGACTGTTTATGGATATATAACTATTAAATTGTGCCATCTCATCTATTAAATTTTAAGTGCTCTTAAAGTGGCACTCATGACTGTCATTTCCTATGTATCTCTACGTGACACCTTGAAATGGTACTAAGCACTTGACAAGTGTTGAACAAATGTAGCAGTGACTGGCTGACAGGGCATCCTTGGATGTTCAGTCACCCATTTCTAAATTTCCTTGTTGGTCACAGCCACAATACACTTCTGACTTGTAACCCTTTTATTGCCTTCCTTGTCCTCTTTATTTCTTCATGTTTTGCTAGTGTGTGGCTGATAAGGGTCAGAAAGGAAAATGTCAGGGGCAATAGCGTTTAATGAATCAGAGAAAAGCTATTTACATAAAAATGCCAACTCCACAATCGCCGCATTGTCAGGGAAAAAGGTTAGGTTTCATCAACGGTCAGCCTAGGAAAGAAGAAAGCTAGTGTGACCACACAATGTCATATTCGAGAAGAGAGCAGAGAAACTTTGTAGAGATGCTGCTTGTCAGTTTTAATCTGCAGTATTTTAGCTTTCACAGCTTCTTTTTAAATAATTGGGACCTCTGATGACCAAGGAGCCTTCACTGCAAAGTTTACTTGATATTTAAGCCCATAGATAAATAAAGTTGGAAGGGAACAGATAGAAAGAAACTCAATCCAGCAACTTGCCTGAAGCCTCCCACAACATGTTTTCAGACATTGGGAAACAGTCCTTGCTTCCTTGAGGGATTTCTTTCCTACTGTATGAGAGCCTGGAGTACTGGGGACATGACTCCTGGTTTGCCTCTTCTGGGTGCTTTTTACTTCCTGTGAAAGGATCCTAAGAATAAGGATAGAAAGATGACCAATGACCATAGTGATTTTTCCTAAGGATATTTTCCATTTGCTGGTATAAAATGGTAATCATTTGGGAGAACTTCACAAATGAGGCAAATCATGCAATCCTCAGAGTGCCCTATTGCCCCGACACTTTTCTTTCTGACCCTTAGCAGCCACACACTAGCAAAACATGAAGAAATAAAGAGGATAAGGAAGGCAATAAAAGTGTTACGAGCAATAAGTGTATTGTGCAAGAAAAGTGTTACAAGCAAGAAGTCTAAAATTATGCAAAAGGATTATCTTCCGATAGGGTTTATGTGTAATCACATGAAATTACTGTTTCCATAAGTCAACAACTTTGTCTTGGTGCTTTTACATGGTTCAATTTAATAGGATCTCAATGCTAATAGAAGTATTTCCATGTGCCTTTTTAAGTTATTTTTAAGAAGATTGCATTTATTGCATTTTAGTTACTATTTCTTTCCTTCTGCCAAACCAGGTCAGTGGTTTTTGCCATAATTATTCCTACTAACAACATAGATTTTC